CCGTGTCGCGGGAGGACCAGGAGGAAGGAGAGAGGAGGGACTATCGCAGCAACGCGGGCATCCTCTCCCCTTCCTCCTCCTCCTCCTCCTCCTCCTCTAACTTCTCGCCGTCATCGTCGTCGTCGTCACTGTCATCATCATCGTCATCGTCGTCGTCATCGTCATCATCATCATCATCATCATCATCATCATCATCATCACCACCATCCGCATCCGCATCAGCATCATCATCAGCATCACCAGTATCATCCTCGTCATCATCACAACCACCACCAGCTAGAGGATCACCACCACCAACAACATCCATCATCGCCATCGTCATCAGCAACATCATCAGAAGCATCACCATACACATCATACGCATCATCATCATCACCACCATCAGCATCCGCATCAACACCACCGTCATCATCTAGCATCGCCCTCATGGATATCGAATCATCAGCATCATAATAAGCATAATCATCATCATCAGCATCAGCATCATCATAATCAGCAACAGCGGCAGCCTCATAATAATCGACATCATCACCACAATCCTCGCACTCATCATCGTCATCATCTGCGTCACCACCACCACTTCCACCATCCTCAGCATCGTGATGATACCATGCCCATCACCATCACATACAACAGCAACCTCTGCATCAGCATCCTCTGCATTATCATCATCAGCATCATCAGCGTCACCAGCATCATAAACATCAGCATCGTCCTCAGCATGAACACCATCATCAATACCATCATCAACATCGTATTCACCATCATCATCATCATCGTCGTCAGCATCGTCATCATCATCACTACCACCATCACCGTCATCATCCTCTCCGTCATCATCACCATCATCGCTATGGCCATCCTCATCGTCATGACCATCATCAGCAGCAGCATCATCAGCAACAGCATCAGCACAACATTATCATATTCATCGGTGTTCGATTCCTGATGTCGGTATCCCCTCCGCCACGTACATGCTCATCATCAACGCTTCCCCTGTCCCTCATCTTTGTGTTCCTCAACTCCCCCACTGCCCCAATCCCCAAACACTTTTCTCGCCCTCCCCATCCCAAGGAAGGACGGGTATGAAGAGCGGAAAGAGACGAGGTTGAGAAGAGGCGGAACAACAAACCAACATAAACCGAACACACATACGCGATTATGCGATTCACCCATCCGTCATAAGTCCCCTTTCTAATGCATTCCTGCACATCTTCCTCTTCACTAAAGAAGCGCCACCATTGGAAAATCAATACAACTGAGCCTGCCATGTTGGCGAGGGGCCCGCTGTGAAAAAGAACGGCCTTGGATGGTTTGGTGAGCCGTTAAAAGCGAACGACAACAACGATCATACAATTCAACAGCATGACCAACTAACTCTCCCTTCCGCAGAAGAGCCGTCCCACAATCCGTGTAACTGTTGTACGAGGTTAGCCTTATGGTCATGTACTTGAACGAGATCTCAATCGACGACCCCATGATGAAAAAGAGCCGCCATGGATCCGTACAGCGCTATTTGCGTTGAATCCCTGGTCCCTAAAACTCCCTGGCGAGAGCACCCCTTTGAAAAGCAGCATCCCCCCCTCCAACGAAACGTCGCAGATTGAATGCGCGCGGAATTGAGGCGAGAACCCCATGTTGAAAAAGAGCCGCTCCACCCGTGAAGCGAATGCACACCGTGCATTCGCTCCACGGGGCCTGGGGGCGAACGCACCGTTTTGAAAACGCACCCATCACATCCGTGAAGACAACGCACATGTTTAAGGCGACTGCGCGCGGCGCTGAGACGAGAAACACAATTTTTGAAGACCGCCCCCCTCTTCATCCGTGAAACGGCTGCAGACTTTGCAAACGAATGGGCGCGGGGCCAAAGCGAGATCCACATGCCGAAAAGAAACCGCCCTCCATCCGTGAAGCTGCTGCGAACTTTGAAAGCGAATTGATGCGGCGCAAAGACGAGAACCACACTTTGACAAAGACCACCATCCATCCGCGTGGATTGCAAACTGATAAGCCGAATGTGCGCGGCGCCAAGGCGAGAGCAACATTTTGAAAACGGGCCCCCTCCATCAATGAAACTGATACAAACGTTTGAGACAAATGTGCGCGGCGCTACGGCGAGAACCACAATTTGAAAACCATTCCACTCCATCCGTGAAACTGTTGGGGCGCTACAGTGAGAACCAATTAATTATGAAACTGTTCCCTCGTTGTGTGAAACTGATGCGAACGTTTAAGACGAATGTGCACGGCGCCAAGGCTGGAGCCACACTTGAAGACAGCCCCCCTCCACCTGTGAAACATTTGCAAATTCAAGCTTCATGAGCATGAATGGTGACGGAGTCTCCTGCGAAACGCCCGGCCCGCAAAACCGACACGCCTGGGGGCGACAGGGGGTTCTTCATGAGGTCTGGGGAAAAGGGGTCGAGGCGATGAGGAGGAGCAGGGGAGGAGGAGGAGGAGGAGGAGGAGGAGGAGGAGGAGGAGGAGGAGGAGGAGGAGGTGGAGGAGCAGGAGGAGGAGGAGGAGCAGGAGGAGGAGGAGGAGGAGGAGGAGGAGAGGGAGGAAGCGGATGGGAGGAGGAGGTAGGATAAGGTAAGGCAGCGGCTAGAAGCAGGTAGCGACGGCGTTGGCCCACGCCTGCCTCGGAGGCCGAGGCGCTGCTGCCTGCCTCCCGGGCCGACTCCTCCGAGCCTCTCGCAGGGAGGCTCCCGCCCAGGGCCCCGGCTGAGTTGAGGTCGGCCACCCCGAGGCCAAGAACTCCTTGCACGCAGGCGGGTCCCAGGGCTCCAGGCGGGGGCCCACTATTACTACTACTACTCCTACTACAACCACCACCACCACCATCACCACCACCACCACCACCACCACTACTACTACTACTACTACTACTACTACTACTACTACGACTACGACTACTACTACTACTACTACTACTTACTACTACTACTACTACTA